TTCTTTCTCTGTAAACGAAAAATAGAAGCAGAGAAAGGAAAATTGCCCAACTCAATCCTCTATTCAAATCGTCTTCCCCTTTAGCTTCTCGTCCCTCTAGCCAAACCAGAAAAAGCCTTCCCACGGCCTTCCACTTCTGCCGCCGCGAGCCATCTTTACGCCGCTGCAGTCGCCGTTAGTCGCTTGATACAATCGAAGAAGGTTTCTGGTTTCTGGATATAAACGTCTCCTTCTTCCTCCACTATTCTCTTTCCGTAACTACCGAGTTCGCACGGTTTAGGCCATTCCAAAGGAAGGTTCGCTAGTGCCCAGACTTAATCGCCGGATCATGGCGGCTGGTTCACAGATCGAGGCAGATCCTTACAATCGCCGATAGTTAGCAGCGATTTCATCCTAGAACCAGGCGATTGTTGTTCCCAGGAGGTTTCTCGCTAAGCTAGCTCCCAGATCGAGACGTTTTGCTGGTCACTTGGAGGAGATAGATCGTCGGTGGGAGAGGGCGGAGATCACAGGGAAGATCCGGAAACGATCTCTTGTTGAGACTTCCCCTCCGCCAAGTGATGGCGATGAAAAATCCCTCTCCTCTTCGTTATCGCTTCGCCCGAAGAGCTCCCTCGCAGATTGAGGGGCTTTGCTGCTGCCAATGGAAGATGGGTAATGGATTGAGGGGTTCGACTTTGTCGCAATCTGCTTGATAGAGGAGTTTCTCTATAGGAGTGGGAGATGGGCGACAAAAACCCCCTGCTGGCTTTTGGACTCGCGAACTAGGACGGCGGCGATTCTTGTTCGGCCGATAAACGGCGAAGTGGTCGCTTTTTTTTTTATTAAAAAAAGCACAGATTAGAGTCGGTTATTTCAAGTCGGTTCAACCGACACAAATAATGGTCTAATACAGAAAATGGATATTCCTGGGAAAAAATTAGTGTAGGTTGAACCGAAGCAAATTAACCGACACAAAAACAATTCGTGTCGGTTACTCCGGCGGTTAGCCGAAACCGACACAAATTTGTTTAGTGTCGACAGGTTTCGTGACGGTTAAGTGAACCGACACAAATATTTTTAGTGTCGGTTAAAACCGACACTGAACATAGAAAATAACCGACACTAAATGCATGTTTTCTTGTAGTGAAATAGGTCGAGAGACAATGAAATGCAAAGTCAAACTATCAAGAAATAAGGGGTAAATTGTGCACTATTGGACCCAAATTAGCTGCTCATCAATTTGCAGGTACCGAAGCTGAACCATACCCTCGACCATGAATTGTCTTATGTAATGGACGTGCACCTCGATGTGTTTATTCCGATCATGAAAAACTGGATTGATTACAAACTAAATCGCGATTGGGTTGTCTCCATTAAGCACCATAGGACTCTAACATGTAACTCCTAATTCCTCAACAATCGATGTACCCAAACCATCTCTGAACTCACTTCTGACATCGATCGTGTACTCTGCTTCAGTTGAGGAGTTTTACACTTTATCATGCTTTCTGCAACGCCATGATACAAAAGCATTCCCAAAGTTGATGCACCATCTCGAAGTAGAATGTCTGGTTTCTAGACATCCTGCATAATCGGCATCTGCGAAGGCTTCTATCTTTGATTCTCCTCCTGCTGGGAAGAACAATCCAACATCACTAGTGTGTCTAAGATATCGAAGTAACCTGTTTACTGCATCCAGATGAGTCATCCTAGCCACTCTGAAAAACTAGCTCACAACTTGTACTGCATATGAGATATGTGGTCGTGTGTGCGCTAGATAAATTAAGCTCCCCACCACACTGCGATAAAATGATTAATCTTCCAACAACTCCCTATCGTCTTTACTAAATTTTAGATTTTGTTCCATGGGTGTGGAACATGGCATGCAGTACTCTTCAAACTGCGTTGAGGATAACATGTCGGAAATATACTTTCTTTAACACAAGAACAATCCATGCTTCAAACGACTCACCTCCGAACGAGGAAGTAAGAAACCTCCTCTAGTTCCTTAAGATTAAACGCCAGATTAAGAGTACTCGTGAGTTTCTTTATCCCTTCCTGATCATCTCCCGTTACAATCATATCGTCAACTTATAGAAGAAGTGCGAGGATCCCAAGAGCTGTCCTACAAATGAGGAGTAAAGGATCGTTATGAATTTGCTGAAAACTACCCTGCAGAATAGTTCCATGGAATTTTTTGAACCAAGCATGAGGAGCTTTCTTCAATCCATAGAGAGATCGAACAAGCTTACACACCATGTTAGGCCCTACCTTCTTATATCTCGGCGGTGGCTCCATATAGATTATCTCTTTCAAATCACCATGAAGAAAAACGTTATTCACATCAAATGTATTAGTGGCCATTCTCTCATCGCGGCAGGTGCTAGGAGACTTCGAACACTGGGCATTTCCGCAACGGGAGCAAAGGTATCGTCATAGTAAATTCTGAACTCCTGACGGAATCCTTGAGCAACTACGCGAGCTTTAAAGCGTTATAGAGTTCCATCCGACTAGATCTTGGCATTATACACCCATTTAGAACCAATCACTGACATCTCCGGCGTCCTCGGAACGAGATCCAAAGTATGATTTTCTTCTAACGCATCTGTCTCTACTTGCATTTCCTCTTCCCATTGTGGATTTGCTTGAGCAAACCAATAGTGAGAGGGTATTGGGATTGCTTTTTGCTGAGTATCCCACGTAATCAAGAAACATTACTGGTGGGGCTCCTTGATTAAATCTATCTGATCGCCGAGGAAGAGTGGTGGACTCGGCAAGTTATCACCCAAATTACCCCCTAACTCTGCCGACTAGGGGTGGGCATCGGTTCGGTTTGGTCAAAACCGAACCGAAATGGTGTATACCGGATCCCTGAATCATGCTATGGTTCCAACCGATTTCGAACCGAAATACAATACGGTTCGGTTCAACCGACCCTAATTATATTTCGGTTCGGCTCGGTTTTAAGCTAAAAACCGAAGGCATAGGAAATCAGAAAATATCTCTCGCCTTTCCCATTTCCATCACATATCACTCTCTCTCTCTTCTCATTTTTCCTCTGCAACTCCTTTCACCCCTGCTGGTTTCTTCTCCTTCCCAGTTCCCTGCACAAAACCAACAAATCAAAAGCTCTAAAGGGGCCTCCATCCGTTCCCTCCGTCGATGTACCCCCTCCAACCTTCTCCCCTTCCTCTAGGTGAACGACGACGGTGGCGATAGTTTCAATCGTTTGCCGACGCCGCTGCACTTCGCCCTTCCTGTCTCTCGCAGATCACTCTCTCTCCCTCAGGGAGTGGATCGTGATTCGGAGGATTGAAGGAGAAAACAGAGCATTTTGAGAACCTGCCGTCAGCGACTGTCTTCTGAGTTTGTTGGGTTCGGATTCCGTCGAGGCTACTGCGCTCTGTGTTTATTTTTTGGAAGGGAAAAAATAACCCCATATATATGTTTGAACTATACCTATAAGTAACATAAGGATATTTTGACACTGTACCATAACTCATTACTTGTTCATTAATTGAAAAAAAATAATTGATTTGTTGATTTCATTCATAACACTATTATTCGACAACAACTTGTATGGTATTATGATTATTTAATAGCTGATAAGAGATTTGTTGGATTGAAAGGAAATGATAAATGAACTTCGGATCATGTTGGAGACAAAAGTGGATAAGTTATATTATTCAGTTTATTTGCTTCTGAGACTAGTTTTGATACTACTAGTTGCAACTGCAAATGTAGAAAGAGGATTTTTAGATTAATATATTAAGAAAAAATTTCGAAGTCGAATTGATGATCAGTTTGTTAATGACTATTTAGTGGGATAGATAAAAAAGGATCACTTAAGAGTGTAAACAATGAATGTATTTGTTATTATGCAAACAATAATTGTATTAGTCGGTTATTTCTTAGTCTATGAATAAATTACTTGGATATTATTTATTTTAATTATATTTATTAAATATTTATATATTTATTAAATATTTATATTTTTATTATATATTTATTAAATATTTATATATTTATATTCAGAAAATAGGACAGGGTAGTTTCAAATTCTGCCTCCGCCACTGAAGAGCTCTACTATGTCGTGTATTGGTTGCTATATCATTCTCCGGTGATGATGACGACAAGGACGACGAGAGGCTTTGGGGATGAAGTGGACGGATGTGATGAACGATGATGCAAGGATGGAGGTAGGAGCAGGAACTGGTATCTCCTATTATTTGGTAGTTTAAGTTGCATCTAATAGCTGGCCACAAGGGGTGTTGTTACCGTAACTGGTCCCCAAAGAAGATCAAAAAATGCTCTCAACTGCTCTCAGCGTGGATCCTTCCCCGTCACCGGCGTTTTCACCAACGGGGCGTACGCCGGACACGGGTCAGATTCATAACGCAACACCTGCTATCGTTGTGCCCACAACAACAAAAGAGCCCTCCTCCATGACAGCGATGGTGGTGGATTCATCCGCCGGCAAAGCCGTTTTGGGGGCGATCTCAGCCGCAGCAGAGACAAACGCTAACGCCGGTAATCAATTGACGCTCACGACTTCACCGCCTCCTCAGCCTCGACGGCGCAGATACATCCCTTTTCCTACGCCAGTGCGCTCACAGGTGGGCAACTCGTCCCGACGTCACAACCGTTGGCGATTCAATGGACTCCGGTCGGCGAACATGATTTGATTCCCGGTGAGCGTAATGGCGAACCGGCCTTGAGTATTTCACCGGAGTTCAAGAACAGATTATGCGCTCCTTGGCACCGCACTCTGGTGGTTCGTCTACTAGGTATCAAAATCGGATTTCATACCCTGTGCTCTCGCCTCAGAGCTTTATGGCGACCAACAGGGGCAATGGAAATCAGGGATCTAGATGAAGCTTGTTACTTGGTGAAACTTAGCAACGACCAGGACTAATTTAAAGCCCTCACGGATGGTCCGTGGATGATTATTTGATCATTACATCGCAGTTCAGCAGTGGACGCCTCGTTTCAAAGTGTCGGATCCTCTCCCAAAGACGATGATAGTTTGGGTCCATGTGCCTGAGCTCAAGATTCATTTTTACCACAAGGAGGTTCTAAATAGCCTGGGGAATCTGATCGGACGCACGATCAAACTAGATTACCACACCCTTACTCAACAAAGGGAGAAGTTTGCCCGTCTCGCTGTAGAAGTGGATATCTCCAAGCCTCTCGTCCCAAGAATATGGTTAGATGATGATTGGCAGCCGGTTGAATATGAGAATCTACCCTTCGTTTGTTTCGAATGTGGGAAGATCGGCCATGCCTTTACTGTTTGCTCCCTGCTTCGACCAGCGTCGGTGCCGGAGTTAGTTGAGTCCGCCGGCGGGGAGAAGCAGGACCTCGCGCCGGAGGGGACTTCGGAGACCAATGCAGGGTTTGGGCCATGGATGCTGGTCTCGCACAAAGGACGGTCGAATCAGCGGGAGACGAGTAACAAAGGAAAGCAAAGGGATTCGGGGGCCACAATTCAGGTGATCACCCCCAGAAATGGAAAGAATGGAACAAAAAGTAAAGAGCCGAGGGATTCCTTACCGATTCTGGATCAACAGAGCTCGCCACCTCCCCAACGGTCATCAGGTCAAGAAAGGAAAAGGAATGGAGAAATTCAAAATGGGACGGAGAAAAGGAACGGTAAAGGCATTATGAGGGAGGAGGAGTCGCCGGCAGGTAAGGGGATTCTTGGACCAGACCCATCGTTGGGACCCGTGGCTAAAAAAGGGCTTAAGCCCAAATCAGATGCTTTGAAGGCGTCCACGTCGGGTATACAGTCTGAAACTCCCCTGATCCCGACTAGTGGGCCTAATAGAGGAACTACAGCTGGGCCTCAAGCCCAAGGTGCCAAACCCACCACCTCCTTCACCCCTCCCTCAACTTTGGTGACCACGGGCCCAAATGGGACAGTGATGCAAGTGGTGCAAGTCCTACCGCAAATTGAAGCGCCTCTCCATCGGGCAGACCAGGCCTCACTGTCAACGGCGAACAGGACGAAGGGAAGGAAGAATTCCAAGGGGCGAGTGAAGAAAGGGTCCCCTGCGAAGCTCAACCATATCCGTCCCTTCCAGCTCTGGTCGTCGATGAAAGAGAAGAAGTCGAAGTCAAAGACCCGGATGGCCTCGCTCACTCTACAAGAGATATCTGCCTGGACGGAGGTGGCGAATCTACCTACGAGAACCTCGGTGGCGAAGGACCCTGTGGACACCTCGACCCTGGATTTGAGCCACGGAGAACCAACTGGAGAGCCATCTCTCCCAGCTATCTAATTGGTGTCTTCCGCCTCCGCTCTTCGACGCTCGCCCTCGACTTGCAATTTTGCTCTTTCCTCCCTTTTCTTTCTCCTGCCTTGCTTTATTTTTTCCATGTCTTTTAAACCCATAGTTAAAATTTTCTCTTGGAATCTGGGTGGTGTAGGTAGCAAATCTTTTGCTAGAGCTTTGAAACTCAGCATCCGCCATCATCGCCCGGACTTCGTGATTCTCCTGGAACCCCAAATCAGCGAGAAATCGGCTGATTTAGTTTGTGACAAAATCGGTTTCCCTAACTCCATTAGAGTGGATGCTGATGGGCGCAAGGGCGGGATTTGGATTTGTTGGGACAGTGGGAGATTCTCTACAAAACTCCTTTCGCCTTGCAATCAACACATTTCCGTCCGTGTTCGTCAGAGTGGGTGTCGTCCCTGGGTGCTGACCGCGATCTATGCCTCTCCCCGTCAGTATTTACAACGGTATCTCTGGGACAACCTTATCGAGCAGAGTGAGAAGGTCGATGAACCCTGGATTCTCTCGGGGGACTTCAACGCCATTTGTTGCCTCGAGGAGAAGACAGGGCCATCCTCGGCGGCGACTGCTAGGAGGTGCCGGAAGTTCAACGAGAGGATCAACAGGGTCGAGCTCATTGATTTGGGATTTTCGAGTTCAAGATAAACGTGGACAAGAGGAGAGGAACACAACCTATTCCATCAGCAGGTCAATAGGCGAAGACGGCGCAACAAAATCTTGACGCTCCGGGATGCCAATGGCAATTGGGTTGAGGAGCCGCAGGAGCTTGCTGCCCTTGTCTTTGACTCTCTGACCCAGCTGTACCTACAGGATGACTCCGTCTATGAGGACAGATTGCCCAAAAATGCATTTCCCAGGGTTGAACATGCAGAGTTGATGATGCTTCTGCTACCCTTTACCATCACCAATATCCACAGGGCCATTTTTTATATGAAACCGTACCAAGCTCCCGGACCGGATGGTTTCCAGGTGGTCTTCTATCAACAAATGTGGCGGGTGGTAGGTAAGGCTCTAACAGAATTGGCTCTTAACTTCTTCTCTGCAAGTACTCTCCCGGAAGCCGTTTCGGAATCTACAGTGGTGCTCATCCCGAAGGTGGATAGTCCGGAGTTCGTTTCTCAGCTTCGACCTATATCCCTCAACAATATCAGTCTGAAGGCCATCATGAAGGAAATGACTAGCAGGTTGAAGCCGATCATGAGGAAGCTAGTTTCACCAAGGCAAAGCAGTGTCATCTCGGGGAGACAGACTACAAACAATATCATCGTGGTGCAGGAAGTCATCCATACACTAGAGAAGAGGAAAGGGAAGAAGAGAGGGATCATCTTCAAGGTTGATCTAGAGAAGGCATATGATATGTTGAGATGGGACTTTCTTCGTGATACTCTCAAAGAAGTGGGGCTGCCTAGTTCGTGGATTAACTATATCATGTACTGTGTGGAGCAGAATCGGATGAGAATTCTCTAGAATGGGGAGCTTTCACAACCGCTGCTTCCAACTCGGGAGTTCGCCAGGGAGACCCTCTTTCTCTCGCTACCTTTTTGTTTTGTGCATGGAACGTCTATCTCACTTGATTGATGAGGCATTGAATAACAAGATATGGAAACCCATTCATCTGACTAGGGGAGGACCACAGCTTACTCACCTCTTTTTTGCAGATGATCTTTTTTTGTTTGCAGAAGCAGAGACGAGACATATGAGGATT